GTTAAAGCTGTACTCCAGACGCAGCATAAATCATCCAATTTTAATGAATTTGATATAAAATAAATCTTATAATTTTTAATATAAAAAATTGTATTACTTACAAACTATGCATTCAACATCTACAATTTTGGCTCGCAGTAGAAGTTGCAAAAATTTATTAGATGAAACAATTAAATTCGTTCTACATACACATTCATTCTGGATAATAAAAATAATTTAACTTTAATACTTTTTATTTAATTTAATAAAAATAATGAGATAATTGGACTTTATTGTGTCTTATATGTGTGGATTAGAAAACACTTTGTATTCTTAATAGTGTAAAATTATATTAATAATATTATATATTTCTTATTTCAAGATAATTAAACTTTGCGTTCTGAGAATTAAAAGATTCATTTAGTGCTTGAAATTTATTAAAAATTTAAAATATCAATGCTTTACATTAGCGAACATTTGAGAAAGTAGAAATCCCGGCAAAGTTGTTTCATGACCGTAACTAATATGAAACTTTGAGGCTAATTATGTGTAGATGTGCTCATCAATTCGGCGGCGCAAGATACAATTTATTGTGCCTACCGTGCGGGAAATACGATAAAGATAGAAGATTCGTGTCATGTATTTATTTTCGGGCATATATATCGACAAAGATGAAATTTTATTTGGCGATATTCAATAGATTAAAAAATATGGAACGATTATACATTAACAAAATTAAAAAAAATAGCTAATACTTTATCGCTTTGATAATGCCTTTTTAATTCTCGTCTGAGATACTACGTCAAATATTTGCGATTTTGCATATCCGCACCGCGTGTATGCAAATGCGAAATATCGAATAAGAATTTCGAGCACTTTGATACAATTAGCTTATGTGGCTGCCGTACAAGTTCGTTGAAAGTCTGAGTTCGTGTCGTCTGAACGGCTAAGAACACGTACTGAAGAACGTTTCAGCCGCAGCACTTTCTCCGGCGACCCTAAAAGCTTCAACGACGTTCATTGAAATGAAAATGCAACCATCTTAGTAAGATAATATTATACATATTGATGAAATATATTTTTAAAGTAATGCCGGTCACCGATTTAAAATCCATGTTACCATTTCCATAACGATTGAAAAATAGCGATAATCTCTTAAGAAAATATCTTTTGATCTCGAAAAATTAAACGCTTTGTATCTACGAATCGTGCAGACAATAGTCCGAATGAGCGCTTGAAATGAAAAGCTGTGTTTTTATTCGGTACAAAAAGAAGGATTTTAAAAAAAGAATTTTTTTGCCTAAAAAGGTGTAAGGGTAATTGTTTTTTTTTTTTTTTGTAGATTTTGACCTCTTGGACACGATAAAATTATTATAAGTTCGTAGCGTTTAGGGAATACCTCGAAAATTGAACACGAACATGATGTATTATCAAAATTTTAATAAATGCACCATTTGCTCAATTTTCAAAATGTTTCTTAAATGTCACAAACATTTTAATAACTTTATTATATCTAGTAGGTCAAAACCTATAAAAAATACTATTTCTTTTATTTATATCCTTTTGGGCGAAAAATTGGCTACTTTTAATTAACATCCTTCTTTAATATTGAAAGATAATGATTAACTATTTATTTTGAATATACACATTAAAAGCATTAAAAATTAACAAATGCTTTTATTGAGCATTGAAAGCACTTGTTGTTAAAATGCTTTTAATACTCAAAATTTTAATACTGATCAAAATAAGCAGTTAATCACTACTTTCTAGTATCAAATTTCTGTAATGGCTCTATGCGTTTCTTAGTTGTTACAATTACGAATTTTATCAAAAAATGACAACTTTACTACACCTCGTAAGATTTCGTAAAGATTTTTATACATTATATCACATTTATAACAATTCAGATTAATAAAACATATGTAATTGTAATTGTATACTAAGAGAACAAAGGTATCAAGACACTATACTACAAAAAATTTGGATACTTGGGAAAATAGAAATAAAAGTCGTTTCTGGACAGAATGCGATATAATTTCTTGTATGTATATGTATAACGTAAAAAGTTGTGTACACGCTTCTATCGATGCTACAGCTATATATAAATGTACAGATGCATACGAACGTAAGTACGCACGTAAAGCGTACCCAAGTGATATTAAACCGCTTAACGATTTAACAAGAAAGCTTAAGTACAAAGCACGACAATTACAGAACTTGTTACATCTCTGTTGCTATACGACTATTTGTCAATACGTTTATCCTTTCATCAATCCAGTTCACCAATTGTAAACGCATTCATATAAACAATATGACAAAAAGTATGATCGTATATAGCTTAAATCAGTCGTAAAAAAACGTGCCCGTCGAAATAAACGATAATGAGCGTTTGCTTAAACGCCTACGTTGGCACTATTACTCATAAGAATGTTGATGAAAAATCTCCAATATTAGCAACTTTATCAAAACCGTGCTGAATTGCAAACTCGTCTAATTAAACTCGGATATAATTTGCTTAGCAAAGATTTTATCATAAACTGTTTGCCTTAATGAGAAAACTGTTATAATATATTTAAGAACTTGTCATTTAAATTTATTAAAGATTTCTGAAAAATGCCTCAAATATTTTTATGTTTTATAAATTTTCTTCAGAAATTATAGAATGAAAATTCTTAGAAAAAAATCTTAAAATATTTCAGAATTTTCATGAATTCTAAAAATAATGTAATATTTTTTCATAATTTCTTAAAAGTTCCAATTCGTATAAATAATATAAGAAATTTTTTTTTATTTAAAAAAATGTTTATATGAAAAATTATACAAAAATTCTGAGAAATTTTGAAAAAATCTAAAAAATTATAAAAAGAATTTTAAGAAAAATTTTCATTGGGCAGATAAAACTTTGCTAACCACAAACAGAAAAATTCTGAATACTTCCGATATTTAGCGGTATACAAACAATTTCAGGCACTTACTCGCGCAATGAATTAATTGCAAAATCAATGTTAGAGATTTTCTACAATAAGTTTTTTAATCGTAATTGATTATAATTGGTCAATTCTTACAGTTTAAGACTTAAAGCTTAAGTAATTGCTTATTGTAGAAAGCCTCTTACACATAAACATATTTATAGTGTTTAACATGGAATATCATCGGTATTGATATGAAATTTTGACATAGTGAATTGTTATTTATACCAAACAACATTTAATTTTGGCAATCGGTGAATTTTGATCGATTTTTATTTCATCGTAGCATGTGTTAAGCTCATACGATAATGTATGATAACTGGTCCATCTCTAATCCGGTAATCATCTGAGAATAACATTGTCGAAGGTTAGATCCCTGTTCTCGCGTTGGATGCCACATTTTTTAAATGGATTCCACGGAAGCCTTCTCACTACGTGCGCCGTAGTGACGGATCCCGCTGGGCTCGGTTGACCGGAAGAAACTCCAGAAGAGCTGCTCGCTGAAACGCTGCCCTTATCGTGATGGTTGTTGGGTTTTCCTGGTTTCTAAAATAATTAATTTCTACTGTCGTACTTTTGCATTGATCGATTATTATTTGTCAGCGAAATATTTTAGTTTATAACAATTATTATCTTTTTTTTAATAAAAAAGAGAATGTAAAAATAGACAAATAGAAAAATTTATTATCAAAACTAGTTAATTTCAATCATCTAATCTCTGATATTGCTACATAGGATA